TGTTTTGCATGCTTCTAACGTAATAGTCCTCACAAGCTTGGTGTTTTAAGCCTTCAGACACCACTTGTTTGAGTTGATTGCATGTTTTAGTGATTTTCTCACTTAATTCCAGCACTCATTAACCTCTTCAACCTCCCTCATTTCTTCACTCTTTGTTTGTTTTGAGGGTTGTTTCAACCTTAGGATAGTTTAAGCTTGAGATTGAAGTTCATTGCTTAATGATTTAATCCTCTTTTGAGGGTTCATTACCAACAACATGACACCTCTCTCTTGCCTTAGACTACCCCTTGTTTGACACTTCCTTCTCTTTCAGAGGACTTACTCAATATTGGACATAATTGGTTAAAGGATGGTTGGTAAATTAAAATGAGTAAAGTTGAAACTAAAAGTGAGCAAAGATAAGAATTTGGTTGTGTTTTGATGTGCTCAATCGGACGTTAATTGAACACAAGGAAAATTGGGGTATTTCATACTCAAAGTGATGAAATGTGTCAAGTTTCCTAGGTCTCCATTGCCCTTGATCTTGCATGATAGGGTGATGATCTTGAATCTTGTTTGTGCATTTATTAACTTGTACAAATTGGTTCCTTAGCCATCATGCAATGAAATTTCTTGATTGATGGTTTGAGGACCAAGTGTATCACTCCTTTTAGATGTTTTGATGATAAGGAGGGATGCACAGTACAAACAACTTGTGAGAATACCCTCTTTTGACCCTGTTTGCTCTTTGTTGCAGCATGGAATTGAGCATCACCAGTGGCCGGCTGACCAGTAACAGGCCATCACTGTTGGATGGCAACCCCTCAATGGTGGCCGACCGGCCACCACTTCTGGCCTGCCGGCCATCAATGAATTTTGAGCAGTGTGCTTGTGAAGCATGGGAAAGTTTATCTGGAGCAAGAAGACAGTGTAAGTGTTGTGCAACAGACGCTTCCGAGGGCAAACAGTGGACGTTCTTCCGGTGGAAACCGAGCATGCATGGGCCTCTCTCGTTTCCCGAGAATAGTTAATTAGTTTAATTTGCATTGAGCCATTTATTTGTTGTACTTAATTAGTTTGTTTTGTACTTATTTAATTAGTTTAGATTAATTAAGTTAGTTTGTGTTGTAATAGTTGATTAGCTTAGCCTAGTTGAATTCCTAATTAAGTTAGCTTAGAAGTTAGTTAATTTAATTAATTCAAGTTTTGTAATAATTAGTTAAGTAGTTTAGCTAATTTCTTTTGGCTTGTAATAGTTAGCTTAATTAGTTAGCTAGTTAGCTAGTTTATTCATTTGGACTCTTCTTCGTGAAAGCGTAATGTAATAACGTGTATGTCTTCCAACCCTGCGTCTTTCTCCCTTTTATTTATCCGCTTTTGATGGTTAGGTTAGGGACATCATGTTTTGTTTAGCATATCGCATGTTTGCATCCATGCATTTGTATTGCATGCCCCGATGCTCGGCGCATCATTCTAACTGCATTGTCATTTCAATACCTTGTTGAATATGTGTTTAAATGCATGCTATCAAATTGTTGCAAATAACATGTTAAGTAGCCGAGCATATTTTAGTTGCATTATTGCATGTGTTGCATTAGTCATCTTGTATAGTTAGGAATCGTGCATTTTTTCTAACTCTTTTGGTTTATCTTGGCTTGGAGTAGTAAGTGAGTTTTTAGCGCTTTAGCATACTTGCATGAGTGTGAGTGATTGCAATGGCTAACATGCTTACCATGAGGCTAAATGCTTACTTGATAAACTATTTGAATGCCTGTGGGTGAAGGCTTGTTGCTTGAATTAGAACAATCAATAAATGTACGTTTAACCCCACTTTGTTAAGTGGCAGATTCACGAGCTTTAAGCCCACTCTGTTAAGTCACAAAATCAAACCATTTTCAAAAAATAAACATGAAATTGAATGGTTCCAATTTGAGCAAACTAGTCTATACCTCATGTGTGCGCATCACATAGTAATGCTAACCTAATAAACCGAAACAAGAGTATATAATGTAGATAAGAATCATATCATGATTAATAGAGGTCGATCTTTTGATCGGGTAAGCGGGGGTGCTCAAATGTATTCATGACCTTCCTCTTTTGTACCCAAGTTCCCGAGCCGAGGCAACTTTGGTGATGATGGACACGTGGCCTTTAGCACAAGTCATGGGTTTCCTAGATCTTTCAAAAATATTTAGGTGGCGACTCTATATCTGGCAAAACAGCCTATTTTTTGAAATTTTCTTCAAAATCGATTTTTCAAAAGATTAGCCGGATTTGGACTCTTTAGTGTTTATCAATTTCACATTGCACTGGTAAGATTAGATTCAAAACCATGGGAGTCCGAACTATATGGCTTCATTTCAACTTCCGAAAGGGGGCGCGAAAAAGCCGAACTACAGTTTCTAGTTTTCTTATCAATATCTAGAGGAGTATAGTTATATTGCCACTTGTTCGGAGGCTAACTCTTATCAAGGCAGTACTGTCTAGTCTTTCAATTTATTATCTCTCACTTTTTAAAATGCCTGAAGGGGTAGCTAAAGAGTTAGACAAGATTCAAGCAGCATTTCTATAGGGTGGGTCAGTGATTAGGAGCAAGATGCATATGGTCAAATGGTCTAAACTTACTAGGAGTGTGATTGAAGGTGGGTTGGGCATCAAGAGTCTCAGAGATGTTAATGCTTGCCTACTACTTAAGTGGTGGTAGAGGTTTGGTGGAGATAAAAAATTGTTATGGAAGAAAGTATTATGTGGGAAGTATAACATTCAAGGAAGCAAGTGGTACCCAACTAGGGAAGCCTCCAAGATGCATTCTCGGATTTGGAAGGATATACTCTTCGTGGCAGCCTTTAATCTTGATATTCAAAATTTCTTTATCCGCAAGTAATGGGGCAAGGGCTCTTTTTTGGGAGGATAAGTGGGCTGGAAATAGATGTTTAAAGGATGAATTCCCTAGACTTTGATAAGAAGAAATCAATTAAGCAAGTTCTTGGGTAGTGTGAAATCTATTAAGCAAGATGAATTCCCGCAAGTAATGATGCTTTCTGTTGGAGGGCTGAAAATTCTGGTTGTTTCAGTATCTCATCAGTTTATGGGTAGTGTGAAAGCATTTTGTAACGTAATGATTTTGGTGTTATCTCTAAGATGATTTGGCAGAATGTATCCACTCCTAGAGTTAAATCTTTTATGTGGCTAGCTTATAGGCAAAGATTAAAAACTACTACTTTCTTACATCGGATTGGTGTCATCCCCGTCATTGATAACATCCATTGCGTGTTCTGCAAAGCTGAAGCAGAGTCGGTTAATCATGTTTTGTTGTGGAGTCCTTTTGTCTAGAGGGTATGGGCTGATATTTTACTTTGGTGGGGAGGAAGCACAATGGATAATGCCTGCATCAGTGGAAGAAGGGTTATAGTTAGGGGTGCTCGCAGTTCCGTTTTGGACGGTTTGGTTTGCGGTTTAGACCCACCCGTATATATGCAGTTCGGGAAAAATTAAACCTGCAACCGCCCGTACTGCAGGTTGCGGTTCGTGCAAATAGGGTTAGCAGATGTGTGAGCGGTTTGCGGATTAGACATTTTTTTGCGGTTCGTGCAAATAGGGTTAGCAGATGTGTGAGCGGTTTGCGGATTAGACATTTTTCTTTATAAAATTTATCTTTGGGCATTTTTTTTCCCCATTTTGTAAATATTTATTTTGGGCCATTTTCCCCGATTTTCTAAAATGCTCAACATTAATAATTAATGAATTAAAACTTATAAAATAAAAATATTACATAAAATATAATTAATGCTCAACATTAATAATTAATGAATCAACATTCATTAACTTTTACATTCATCCAAATGCAATAATAAAATAACAATAAATTATTGTCAAAGTTCATCTAATTCAAACCCATTAAATAAATGAAAGCATTTGTGAACTCACAAACTCCATCAATCGCATCCAACTTTCAAAAATTCAAATTCCATGCATATGTTTGATGAACCCTACACAAAAGCAAACTGAAAAAAAATATATAATTTAATCTTCGATCTTCATAATTCCTTTAACAAAAAAATTGTAAAAGAATAAAGTAATGAAAAGATAAACAAATGTGTATATATTGCATCTAAATATAGTAAGAAAATGTGTTGAGTATATAAAAAATTTACTAATAAGTAAATGAATATTAAAGTTCAATTATAGCATCAATATTATAGTCTAAATGTGGATAGGATGAATGAAATCAACGGTTCAGATTTTAAAAAAAAAAATGTCCAAATGCAAGTGGGTTTTTGCTGGTGCAGGTAAAACCCGTAACCCGTCCGCAACTCGCAACAATGACATATTCCAAACTGCATCCGCTCATATTATTCTTGCGAAACTGCCAATTTGTATGCGGATCAGTTCGAGTTGGACGGATTGTGCGGTTCTGATAACCCTATGCCTAGCCCTAGTCACAGTAGTGGGCTGGTTTTACAGGCAACAGATTTGAGAGAAAAGTTTGGAACCACTTGCTATTTTTTGATCCATTTGGAAGCATAGGAATGAAGTGGTGTTTTCAGGTATTCAACCACATCTTTCAAGCTTGTGTGATCAAATTAAAACAAGAGTAGCCTTGTGGGTTAGAGCCTTAGCCCCAGGTTTGCCTTTCTCTGTCAATGATTTCTTGTTCAACTTGCAACACATCAAGTTTGGTAGCAGAGGAATAGGCTAATTGAGTGCTTTGCTACTGCTGCTGCTGCTGGTGTTCTTGTTTTGTTTTCTTGCTTTGTTTGGTTTTGTTTGGTTGGTTGCTCACCAACTCATTGTCATGCTAGTAGATGATTGGGCTCGCTTAATGGTGCCAACCTAGTTGGGATCATTTTACTTTGCTGTGATGCTTTTTGCATACAACATTTTTATTGATGTAATTCCGTTTTACATTCAATAAAATTCCTTTTTTTTCTGATCAAAAAATAAAAAAATTAAAAAAATACAATGGACTATTAGTCCTAAATAAATAGTCCCTAGACTACTTAGTTAGAGATAATACGTATTTGATTATAGTCCAATCTTCACTAAATTAACCCAACAGTGACTTAGTAAATTCATTGAACATGGAGTTCAATCTCACGTCTCAATCCCATGAAACAAACGACCCCATACACAATCTCGTATAGTGTTCCAGAACTACAGAATATTTGCCAGCAATGGAATACAGTCCAGTTTCATTTCATTTATTTATTTAATTATTTTTTGGCCGTTCTTATAATAGAACGCCCAGTTATTTCTCTTTGTTTAAGCAATCAAAAACAAATTATGAAGCATACAAATGACACATAAGCTTGATCTTTATTATATAGTCTTCGTCACTTTACTTCCGGAAAGACGGAAGAGTTGGGATGCTTTGCTCATTTCTAAAGAAATTATGAGGATCCACCTTAGTCTTTGTTTGCACCAACCTGTGGTAATTATCCTTGAAATATTGGATCCCATAAACAGCTCCTTCAGTGTAACTATTAGGGCCATTGTGGTTGATACCCAAATCAAGATCTCTGTAGTTGAGAAATGCCTCCCTTGGGGACTTAGACACATATGGAGTCATGTAACCATGCAACATTCTCGTCAAATTTAGGTAGTGGTTTGCTGCTTCAACTCCATCTTCACTCCAAGTGGTCAAGTATTGAATCTTACATATGTTTCCTGCTCGATGCGGAAATGGTTTATCAGATGCTGGGATCTCCGCCATCTGTCCACCGTACGGATTGAAGGTCAACACTGGCCTTTCCAGTTCGATCATCCTTTTCCATATGTATTCCAACCCATCTTTTGGAATTGGTTCCTTCAAATAATCGGATTTCAACTTGGCATGGGTCAGTGGTTGAGGAATCCTACTTAGCAGAGTATTGACTGGTGTTCCAATGGGAAAGCCAGTCCAATAGAGGATAGATTGAGCCCAAGTCATTTCAATGCAGTCTGTCTGTTTTAAACCTAACTCAGGGAAGCTCTGGTTCATGAGAGAGAGGAGCCTCTTGGAGTCTCCAAGGAACAAGGAGATAAATGCAGTATTTATTGTTTTTTCATCGCTCTCGCTGCTTACATTTACAACATACATCCTGAGTCTAATAAAGATGTCTTCATCTAACTTATCAGCAACTTGTTGCCACCGATAAACAATATCTGTTGCATTTTGCTGAAGCGTTCGCTCAACAGTGAAAACAGTAACTGTGGCGGGTACAACAACCAACTTTATTTTGTAGGCAAGAACCACTCCATAGCTAGAAGCTCCACCTCCTGTAATGGCCCAGAACAGGTCTTCCCCCATAGATTCCCTGTTGAGAATTCGGCCATTGACATCAATTATCTGAGCATCAACAATGTTATCAACTGTGAGACCATATTTTCTCATCATGTTACCATATCCACCTCCACTAAAATGACCGCCAACACCGACAGTGGGGCAAACTCCTGCAGGGAAACCATGGGTATTGCTTTTCTCAGCAATCCTGTAATAGACTTCCCCAAGAGTGGCACCAACCTGAACCCAAGCAGTCGCATCTGATATGCTGACATTGATGGATCTAAGGTTGAACATGTCAAGGATGAAAAATGGATTCACAGAAGAGTATGAGATGCCCTCAAAGTCATGGCCTCCGCTTCGGATTCTCATCTCCAGACCAATTCTTTTAGCACAAATAATGGCTGCTTGGATATGAGACTCGTGCAATGCAGTAATTATAAGCTGGGGTTTTGGTGTGGTTGACTCATTGAATCGAAGGTTTCTCATGTATGCTTGCAAAACAGAAGAGTATGAAGAATTATTGGGGGTGTAGACAACTGCAGAGATTGGGTCAGATGGGTTCGAATGGTTTTCAAGGCATTGAAGAAAGGGCTCATTAACTGAATCACAAGTTGCCCATGAAACTGCATGTAGTAAAAGGACTGCAAACAAGGAATCAATAGCAAAAGTTGAGGTTCTCATTTTCAATTTCAAAGCCTCTTATTTTATCTCTAAACAACTGTGGGTAATGTCATGTTTAATGCCTTATGTTCTGTCTTTATATGCACATGTGTGGACTAAATTAAATAAAAATAAGAAGATAATTCTATGACTGAGATGTTTATCTACCATTGAAATTTAAACTCTTGCAATGTCATCTAGATGCCACAGATGTCAGGTTCGCGATTTTAAGCTCATTTGTTGGCTTTTTCTTTTTCATTATGTGTAAATAATAATAATAAAATTTTCACAAACATTTTAAAGTTGAATATTAACAAGAAACATACCCATAACAGCTTAAACTAATTTAAAAAGTCAATGAAACAAACCGATACAGCCCAAGCCCGTTGGATGAGACTTTTGCATTTTGGACTTTACAAGAATTTGTTGACATTTCCGATAAAAACTTCTAGTTCCTATTTGTTTTATAGGAATAATCTATCATTACGTTCCTTCACGGAAAAAGGTTTAGTTTACCCAGTCATAACATAAAAGTCTTTTTACTATCTTTCTTTGATTGCACACCAAGATTTATATTAATCTATGTAATTTATAATTTAATTAAATTAATAAATAAATTTTAATTTTAATTTCATTCTAATTTCTATGTATATACTGCATAAGAAAACGATTTACAAACCTTGTAGAGAATCAACTCTACCATAAACTGAAAAGGTAATGGATAACCTGTATCTTGTATTCATCTGTGTAAAAATGGATAACCTGTATCTTGTATTCATCTGTGTAAAAATTGGAACCAGTCTACATATTTATGCAGTGTGCACTAATTAATATGAAAAATGTTACATTTCATACAGTGAGTGGGTCTTATATGCATTTTTTTTTTTTTTTTTTTTTATCAGCAAAAAAACCTTTATTGATGAGAAATCATACAAGATATGAGTTTACATCAAAAAAGAGAGGGGGAGCATCAAGCATCATAGCGACCTAACCCAATCCCAACTAGGTTGGCACCGAGAAGGAAGCCCAATCAACTGCAAGCTCAAACCCAAGAGATATTTATAAATATGGGTCCAGTACTTTGGGCCTATGTGTGACAAAAAGAAGTAAAAATGAAATTATATATAGCAATGCTCAATTAATATATATGCATTATATTAACGGTCCTCGTGCTGTTGAGACTAAAAAATTGTGAAAAGTAGCACATTTTAATTAGGGCTGGTCTAACCTTCGTACAGACCTGAACCGGGAAGTTTCTAAATACACCACATTAATATCTCCTCATACTTAAATGTACAAGTCTTTCTTCAAAGAAAACACATATTACACAGCACCAACAATCATAGGTATCATGAAAATAATCATGAAAGATTTATGACCCTTGAATTATACTTAGAATAAATCACCATACGCTAATCAAGATTTGTGATCCTTTTATGGTGAGTGTCATCAAAAGTAGTGACAACGAAAGAGATTGATCACGGACAGGCAGAAGAACCATTGCTCCCATTTGTGCACAGCAACAAAGATATGTATACTGTTATCAATGGATAAAAATGGTGTGGAATAGTTTGGGATCTCAGAATTGACTTAGAATAGGTATGTGGTACAGATTAAATTGATAAAGTTTGAGATTCACGAGTAAATCATTTATTATTGTTTCTGAGTACATAATTCTGAATTTATTTTACTGTTGATAGTGTAAAAACTAAATGGAAAAGTTGCTGACTCAAATGAAAAAAATTAAATTTTATAATAGAAAAATTTAATTCGTATATAAAATTTATACCTTCATATCTTCATTTCTTTATACCTACATCTCTTGGTACCTCTCTATACCCCTTTTGTGGGCTTCAATTTGGACCCGCACTGATGATCCAAACTGTCTATCTCGCAAGTTTTCTAAACAAAATTATCAATTCAAAAAATGAGTTTTATCGAAAAATTATAAACTTAGAAAAAAATCACATTTTGTTTTATAAAATAAATGATAAATATAATTGTAAACTTAAACCATCCATTTTATACAATAAAATATTTTTTGTTCCTGCATTTATAATTTTCTAATGAAGCTCATTTTTTTTTGCATAGATGGCCTTTATTATAAAACCTATGACATAGATAATTTAGATCATCGGTGCGGATGCGAATTAAAACTTAGAAGAGGGAAATGGAGAGTTATGAAGAGATGAAAGTATGGAAGACAACATATCCCCATGAATGGTGCTTTGTTTTGAAATGAATAATCTATAATAATGAGGCATATCATTATATATTAAAAAAATGTGTATAAATCTTTTGTTTATATAGTATTACTATCTATAATATTATGAAAATCCTCGACCAAGCTGTTCAAAGCCATTATTATCACTCAACTAAATAGGAAATTATTGCAATTATATTAAATGTGATCCATTACTTTTTGTGTTATAGGATCTCCAATGCTTCATCAATTTTTATATTAAATTTGATTAAAATTTTGATTTGATATAATGCATTCCAATTGTTTCATCAAATCTACCCCGTCATCTGGTCTAAAGTAAATTTTCATCAAATCTTTCTCAAGTTGTCCATCTGATTGTCTGTCTGGTCATCCATCCAGTCGTCTACTAATGGTCACCTACGAGATTTGATGAAAGGTTAAACTCTCCTTTCATTTGATGAAATTTTTTGTTTTCCACTCATTTGATACAGGCTTGAGGCCACAGTTGGTGCCCAAAAAATAATGTGTTTTATCAAATTTAAATTTGATGACAAACTGGTACTAGCGTTGGAGATGGTCTTAGGGGTAGAATTGATTATCTCTGTTTTTTTTTTTTTTTTTTCAAAATTGAGTTTTTTATTTTTCATTTTTAATGAATTTTTAATATTTTAAGTAAACTTTTAATTTTTTAGATATGTGTAATCTAGATACCCTTAGAAACTGGGCTTTAACCTCCCTTTCCATACTAACCAAGGGAGAAATTAGGCTTTAGGGGGAGAGGGATTATGCCAGATCAGATCAGAAAGCTTTAGAGTAGGACCAATAGAAGATTCACACCAGTTAATAGCACCTTTAACAGTAAAAATACCTGCAAGGTCAGCTTTCCACAAAATAGTATCATTACAATCCAAACTCAAAACAGGGCCCTTCTCTAGAACATCATAAAGCCTCAGAAGTTCATCTTCCTCCCATGCCAATAAAGGTCTTTTGAAATTAAATGCCCAGATGTTCTGATTTCTGGCCCTAAACCACTGTATATGCAAAGATATGTCCCTTTCCACTGATAAGTAGTATAATTTGGGAAATTGGGACTTCATACAAGTGGTTCCCAGCCAATTATCAACCCAGAAACTAAGTCTTTCACCATTGCCAATCCTGAGTTCAGCATTGTACAAATAATAGTTAAACAAGATGCTGTTAGATTCATTAACAAGAATGATGTCACTCCACACTCTTGAAATATGGGTTGCCTCCACATGAAAAGGAAACCACCTTCCCCTCTATGACTTGTACTTACTGCAGATGAGTTGTTTCCATAAAGAGTTGTCTTCCTTTCCAAATCTCCACCACCACCACTTAGCAAGTAAGCTATTGTTCACCACCTTTAAGTTTCGAATCCCCAACCCACCTAGCTTTTTATCCATGGTTACATCCTGCCATTTCACCAGGTGGACTTTCTTGTTGACCTCAGAATCACCTAACAAAAAAGCTACTTGGATCTTATCAATCTCTTTTCCCACACTTCTGGGCAACCTAAACAGAGACAAGTAATAAACAGGTAATGAAGATAGAACCAATTTGATTAATGTTACTCTACCTACAAAGGACAGTAGCCTCCTTTTCCACCCAATTAGTTTCTTCCTAAATTTCTCCACCACAGGCTTCCATGTTGCTCTTCTTGATGGATTGGCCCCTAATGGCATTCCAAGATACTTCAAAGGGAGCTTTTGGCACTTACATTTAGTCTAGAAGAAAAGGTTTGCACAATATCATCAAGAATGCCTACACCACATACAATACTCTTATGAAGATTGATCCTCAACCCAGAAATAATCTCAAAGCATCTGAGTATTCTCTTCACAATTAACACTTCTGACCACTCGGCTTCATAGAAAATAATTGTGTCATCCGCGAAATGGAGATGGGAAATATTAATGCCACTAGAGCCAATGGTTATCCCTTTAACCAAGCCCAACCCCTTTGCTCTTGTAAGAAGCAGATTGAGACCTTCAACCACCACATTAAATAGGAAATGTGATAATGGGTCACTTTGTCTTAGCCTTTTTTTAGGACAAAACTCATGTGTAGGTGAACCATTAACCAGCACAGAAACTTTAGCTGAAGAAATGCAGAGACGGATCCCATTCACCTACTGAGCACCAAACCCCAAATTGGATAGCATTTGGGTAAGAAAGTTCCAATTTACTGTATCATAAGCTTTTGGAAATCCAATTTCAAAATCAAGCCTTTTCTTCTAGATTTCTTCCACCAATCCACCACCTCATTAACTATCAATACACCATCCAAAATATTCCTTCCCCCTAGGAATGCAAATTGGGCAGTATCTATCACATCAGGTAGAACTCTTTTCATTCTATTGGAAAGAACCTTGGAAAGAATTTTATATGTCGAGTTTATAAGACTAATAGGCCTAAAATCTTAGATGCCATAAGGGTTATCTGTTTTGGGAACCAAAGTAATGGAAGAACTATTTAAACCCCCACCAAACTGCTCTTGGTGAAGAATTCTTGCCGGAAAGAGAAGACATCACATTTCATGAATTTCCATCCCTTTTGGAAGTAGGTCATATTAAACCCATCAGGGCCAGGAGCATTTTTACTGTCACAATCTGAAACTGCAGCCCAAATTTCGTCTTTAGAGAATTCCACTTTTAAACTACTGAAATGCTGGCTCTATTGGATTACTTTAAATGGGCGCATTATCTTGGGTCTGTGTTGCCAATGTTCAAAAAAATTACATCTGAAGTGATCATACACAACTTATCTCACCTCTATAGGATGCTTCACTGTTGCCCCATTCACTAACATAGAGTCAATTGCATTAATATTCTGTCTTTTCGTAGCTATGATGTGAAAAAAATTAGTGTTTTTA